AGCTTTCGTGAGGAAAAACCTCACTTCTTCGGTTGCCTAGAGAATCCATGCATCCGAAGAAGGGAAGGTTTTACGCACGAAAGCTTATGCCCAAATAAATCTGTTAGTCTTTAAGGTGCCACCAGACTCCTTGTTGTTTTTGTAGATACAGACTAACACGGCTACCCCCTGATACTTGACACTGATGTTAAACTCACTGACCAGTAACAAACTGTGCTTCTGATCACCCACACTGGTTATCGAGAAGCTGAAAAAAGAAATCACACAGCCCCCTTTATTGCATTCCAGTTCTCTGAATCCCAACCAGCACCTAGGTCCAGTACAGTGATAGGGTATTTAAAAACTCTAATCACAAACAAAATGTTGGAAGGAAGGAAGGAAGGACAGACAGATGGAAGGAAAGAAAGAAGTCAGATACATTCCATAATCTATATATAGGGTTCTTAGATGTACTAGTGAGTTGCTGGCATGAAAGTCCATCTGGAACACATCCACAGCTTGGATGGGTCATTCAGTCCTTTGTTCAAGGCTTCAGTTTGTAGAGAAGTTGCTCCAGAGGTAGGAAGAGGGACTGAAGACAAAATGGAGATGATGCGGCTGCCCTTTATATTCCTTTTGCCACGTGGCTTGTACTTCCTGTGTCCCAAACACAAGCTTCACAGCATATGGCATGGAAAAGCCTTGGAGTTCTCAGTACACAGGCATAGCCCTGCATGTCTTGCTGACTCAATAGGTGTATCCCCTTGGGCCTTTCCATGGGCTCATTGTACAGCTGATGACCCTGGATAGGCCATCAAATGGGCTAGGCAGTGCTGACACCAATATGTCTGGGGGTGTCAACCAGAAACACTGCACAAATCTGGAAATACAGATATACCGTACATATCTGTAACTCACAATACAAACAGAAACAAAATGATCACACTTGGAAAATCATAACATTTTCCATGACACCTTACATGGCATATCTAGCATGATTCATTGCAATTTTATATTATTATTAATACCAATATGATAAAGTGTCTCACAATTTCATACAGTGTCACACTTAGTAAATCAGTGAATTCGCAGGATCAGCTCCCCAGGTCCTTGAAGATACCGAACACTCGTTATGAGGGATTGAAATACTCACATATCTGCTGGGAACACACACAGACAGACACTGTGTCAGTCTGTACCCCTATGTTCACTCGTTTAGAAAATTATGATCAATTTTGTACCTAGTATGTTTTGTGAGGTATCACTTGAAATCGCATAATCTACTGAATATTATCCTCCTGTTAAAATGTGTAGCAACACTAGATGTAAAGTTATGAGATTTTACTGTTTGATATTACTGAAAAAGTTACAATTCTGGGGAACACCCACAGAACAGTTCCTCAGAGACAGCAAGGCAAACAGCTGGTTAAATAGCCATTGTCTGGAGGGGGAAGGTATGAAGAAGACATTTACATTCCATCACAGGGACCACTTGAGGCTCCTATCTACAACAGACAGCCTGTCACCATGACTCGGCTGAGAACTGAAGTTGTTTCTAGTACCAAGGACTGAATTATAAAAAGAGGTGAGGAAAATGCTTGAGACTCTCTCTCTCCCCTTTCCCTCTGCTCATGACAATTCCTGAAGAACTGAACTTGGGCGGCAGGGGTGGGTTAGGGGGAGTCCTGGCTTAAAGGAAAGCCAGCATATGGTGAGAGAAACACTTGCTTTGAATCCATTTTAGCTTGTTAACTTAGATGTTAAGATTGTTTTATCTTGCATTTCTTTTGTAAATAATTCTGACTTTTATGTCTCATTACCCGTAGTCACTGAAAATATTTTTTTTCAGTAGTTAAAAATCTTGTTTTATTGTTTTATCTAACCAGTGTGTTTGGAAACTCCGTTTGGGAGAACAAGGCTGGTGCATGTTATTTTCCACTGATGAAATGACAGACTTCCTATGAGCTTGCGTTGTTCAGTAGTGTGCTGGACAGTGCAAGATGCACATTTCTGGGGGAAGTCTGTGACCAGAGAATTTTCTGGGGTTCTCCTGTGGGGTACTGTAATTCATGAGTCGCTGACTAGCAGCACTCAATACTGTGTAGCTGGGAGCGAGTTACAGGCTGGAGACTGTGTGTTACCTGCCCAGGAGTGGCTGTTCTCACAGTAAACCAGGGTAAAAGGCACCCTAGTTGGGGAACTGAGGGGACACAGCTGTTTAACAGTCCAGATTGCACTGTGGTTAATGTCACACTCAATTTCAAAGAGTCTCCTAAAACACAGAGAAAGTAAATCCATATCCCAGAAATCGAAGTCTCCAGACAGAGGGCAAGTCACCCTGGCACTGCTTCTTGCTGACAGAGGTCCAGAGACAATGAGAGAGTCCTGGGGAAGCTGGGAACAGTAAGTATGGGCCGGTAGGGTTCAGTGGAGAAAGGGAACAGAAAGGGCAGGGATATTACTGAATGCAGGATCTCAGCAGTTCTAGATGTGAGGATAGCGCATATTGCAGCCCATTGGAAAACATAATCCCACCTATACATATACAGTAACTCCTCACTTAAAGATGTTCTGGTTAACGTTGTTTCATTGTTACATTGCTGATCAATTAGGGAACATGCTTGTTTAAAGTTGTGTAATGCTCCCTTCTAACATCATTTGGCAGCCACCTGCTTTGTCTACTGCTTGCAGGAAGAGCAGCCCGTTGCAGCTAGCTGGTGGGGGCTTGGAACCAGGGTGGACCGGCAGCCCCCTATCAGATCCCCCAAGGTCCCTGTGCAGCAGCTGCCTGCAGTTCAGCTGTGTCCCTCCCCCCACTGCCATGTGCTGCTCCTGCCCTCTGCCTTGGAGCTGCTCCCCGAGATTCCTGCTTGCTGTGCAGGGGGGAGGGAAGGAAGGAGGGGGCTAATGTCAGGGTGTCCCCCTCCTTCCTGCACCCCCCTTAGCCTATCTTCCATAGAGCAGGGGGGGACACCCCAGGGCTCAAGATGGAGGGAACTTGCAGCAGCTGCGGTCTCAGCAAGCTGATCTAATTAACAAGGCAGTGTACTTAAGAGAAATGCGCATAGCTCCCTCCATTCCTGCTGCGTTGTGTAGAGAGACAGAGTTAACCCTTGAGGGATCAGCCAGTTGCTAGTTCATCATTTAGCAGTAAGGGAAATATCCCACCCTCTGACTCCTCCACTTCAACCAAGCTTCACAATCGTCACTGTGTACCAGTATTAAACTGTTTGTTTAAAACTTATACTGTGTGTGTATATATTTATATATAATATAGTGTTTTGTCTGGTGAAAAAAATTCACCTGGAACCTAACCCCCCTCATTTACATTAATTCTTATGGGGAAATTGGATTCATTTAACATCGTTTTGCTTAAAGTCGCATTTTTCAGGAATATAATTACAATGTTAAGTGAGGAGTTACTATAAAATGATGGGGTCTAAATTAGCTGTTTCCACTGAAGAGCGAGATCTTGGAGTCATTGTGGATAGTTCTCTGAAAACATCCACTCAAGGTGCAGCAGCAGTCAAAAAGCGAACAAAGTTGGGAATCATTAAGAAAGGGATAGATAATAAGACAGAAAATATCATATTGCCTCTATATAAATCCATGGTACACCCACATCTTGAATACTGCATGCAGATGTGGTCGCACCACCTCCAAAAAGATATACTGGAAATCAAAAAGGTTCAGAAAAGGGCAAAAAAATGATTAAGGGTATGGAACAATTTCTGTATGAGAAGAGATTAAAAAGACTGGGACTTTTCAGCTTGGAAAAGAGATGACTAAGGGGAATATGATAGAAGTCTATAAAATCATGACTGGTGTGGAGAAAGTAAATAGGGAAGTGTTATTTACTCCTTCTCATAACACAAGGACTAGGAATCACCAAATGAAATTAATAGGCAGCAGATTTAAAACAAACAAAAAG